ATTTTGTCTGTAAATCATTCGAAGGAGTCGAGCAATCTGACCAACGTCCTTATGCACCGCCAACGTGAACGCTATATCCACTGCGACCGCAAAACGCTCCCGGAATTGCAGACAGTGTGGATGAGTGGGAGAGTTGACTTTGGCGAAGAACTTTGCTGATTTCAATGAAGAGCTTGTGCGTGATTTGGCAATTTTATGCTTGGTGTGATGTTTGAGCGTAAACAGCATTGCTCCAAGTGTTATTATCACGATGAAAATGCAACTGCCGCTTTGTCGACGCAGACATCTGATGAGTGAAAGATCCCCTGAAAATAACATTACTCACGATTTGCAATTCAGTAATCCGGAAAAAATAACGCCTTGCTAGTTAAGAACGGGAACGCGTAGTTGTAAGTGTTTGCATTAAGTGTTTTAAGTTTATGCCGTGTGAGAATATGTAAAGCGAAGGTAAACGTCCATGACTTCACCGAAGTCAAATAGGATGCGAAAAGCAGCGTTGGTTTAACTAATATGATGAAACAGCAATGGAATAGATATCAATGAGACCGCTTGCTGATACCGTTTGCTACGTACTAATTATTAAACTGCAAAGGATTAAAATCTGGCAATATAAACGAGCCCAATGCACTGCCTCTGTTTGTACAACTCATGTCAAATTCGCCTTAAATATGCTGCACCCCAGTCAAACGAATCACGGTGCAATGTGAAATCGATTGACGTCTTGAAGTTGAGTTGCTGATTGGTCATGATCCTCTCAAAATTCCTGAACTGCATTGAAATGGATATTTTATGAATAGTTAAGTGTGTAGTAAAAGAATCACCTTACGCTGGACTATTTGACCAGTGAATATGTCAACCCGAAAATAGCAAAGATCAATGGGACGCATATTCCACCTCATCGCCTTCATTTACACCACGTTTGCACTATCCAATATGCAGCAGTGGCATCAGTGGATGGTGCACAGTCTGTGTCGGCTGCAGTGTTCCAACTTCAACAACAGCTGGTCAAGAGGCTTTTTCAAACCTCCTTTACACTGCATCTCACCACGTAGCCAAAACGCGCTCTTTGGACACACATTTGCACGACCCGTGTCTCCACAAGCCGTTCAGTCACTGAACAGAACAGAGAGTTTAGCATGGATTTTTTCCTGCATTTCTTATCCCCGTAAGTCATTTGAACAATTTCTGAATGTTACTACTGTGCGCCGTGCATGCTACCTGAATTTGTAAATGAATCGAACATAAGCAAAGATGTGAGAGGAACAAATTGAGAAGATGGTTTCTTGAGTCTGGCAAAAATGAGATAAGCGTTAAGTAACTCACCAACGTGGAACATCACTTGATATT